CTGAAATCTGGTTTATCTAAGATTTGTCCCGCACTGTGAGCTGTATCTTACCTGGTCATGTTGTCTGTGTTGCTGTTCCTGCGTCTTTTCGTTCTTTGCAAGTTTTAATTAATTCTGCCTTTATCATCATCTGAAGCGAAATTAAATGTAGTACAGCCACTTTATCATAACTACTGTAATGCCTGCTAATTAGAGTCAATTAGAAACGTCTGTTGCAATTCACTTTATGTTGTGAAATGTGTAATGACATGTTAGTGACGCTAGGGGCGCTGTTGGGCGTGATTTCGCAAGCCTGACATAGAACCGCAATATATAGATCTGTTATGATCCATACATTATTGGAAAATCATTTTATTTATTTAATCAAATGTCAGTGGTAAACGGTATTATGGTTCACAAACTTAATTACTGTATTTAAGTACAATTATCAGTTATTTTGTAATTGAATTATTCTTATTATACCTTTTACTCCACTACACGTATAAGGTACCAGATCCATTTTACATACACAACATACAATCAGTTTAAAAAATATGCTTGGATATTTTTTTTAATTATGTAGGAGGTTTAGATTGAGCATCTAAAGTAAAATGCTTATTTTACAGTCGTTAGACCACCGCACAGTAAATAGGTAGAAGATGCTCCGTCGCAACCATCGACATTAAAATGCTGCTTGCATCAGTAATGATAATATATAATGATTTAACCCTGATGGAGGAAGATTTGCTTGCATTGCGTGTACCGTCATAAAGTACATCTTATCTTTATCTCATCTAAACGTAATGTACTATGATGTAGTTCCCAAACGCCTGTATATTATTTTTAGTGTTGCAATGTACGGGCCAATTTTTCAATAGTTATCTCCTTAATATTGTTGTGAGTTCCTTTGTCGACGATAATGGTGAAAATCGCATGACAGTTTAATTATTTACAGAGTTTTGATGTAAACACTGATCTAAACTTAATTATTTTAAGGTACTAGAGTATTTCCATTTTCTGCAATTGCATACTGCTCCACTACATTTGTATTTTTTACTGCAGTCTATTTATTGAATACTTCTAGTTATACATAAATTACAGATAAAATGAGCTCCACCTTACCAGCTGCTATAAAATCACATTATTGCATAAATATTCATAATATAATAATGTAATACATATTATTCTGATATGGATCAGTCTGCATAACTAGTACTTTTACTTTTGGTACTTTATGTATATGTTGATGCTAATACTTTTGTAGTGGTAAGATTTGTATTGCAGGACTATAATGAAGTTTTGATAGCCTCCTTTTATTTTACTAAAATGTCAGAAAACTTCTTCACCTCTGAAAATGTAAATTATGTAATCTAAATACTTTATTTTCTATCTTTTATTCAAGAAAAAATATATGTGAACATAATCCATTATTAACACACAACACATTGACATCGGGGGCTACACAGTTACACATATGCAAACATTTCCCAAATTGGGATCAATAAAGTACTATCTTATCTTATCTTATCTTATCTTATCTTATAAAGCAGGGGTGTCAAACTCAAATACACAGTGGGCCAAAATAAATAATTGGGTACTAGTCGAGGGCCGGGCTGGTTCAATGTTTATTGCAAAACGTATTGAAATGAACTTATTGCACATATTAAACCTGGAACTAACAAAGCTTAAATTATTGCCGATAAAAACAACATTAAACATTAAATAATCAGTTGCATTCATTTCTTATGGCTCTATCTGCAGCTTTTCCAGAGTCATTTCTTATGATTACATTTTTCCACAGGTCAACAACAGCTTAAAAAAAAACAATTTCCCTCAAAGAAAAAAACAAACATGCCCTGTTGTCTCAAGAAAGAAAGTGCAGAAGGAAACATCCATGTAAACTCAGTGTGCTGCTCTGTGATGCTAGTTCAAGCAGATACTTGGCATCTCATCTCGGGTGCAAGTTCATCAATGTTTGGGGTCAGGCTCTGAGCTGAGGTGTGCGTGCAATATACTGGCGGGCCAGATTTAATAGTAATTTAAAATTATCCTGCCTGCGGGCCGAAATTAAATCCACCAAGGGCCTGATTTGGCCCCTGTGTTATACACATAGACTGTATATATAAAGGTTATACAGAGTAAAACGTTAAAAAAAATCATATATAAAGAAAGAAATGTAAAGAAAATAATGATACAAATCAACAGCTATCATCTCAAGTATAATATGAAATAGCTTTAGTTTTGATTGCCTTGTTATTGTATATATTTTTAAATGGTGGTGCCATATTGTTGTAATTCTATGTAAACATGGGCAACATTTGGTTTGGAGGAAGTCCATTTCTCCTTTTGAACGTGACATTTTCCTCAAACTAAAATGATAGATATATAAATATATGTTTTACAATACTTTCACCACTGCCAAACATGTAGCATGGTGACGCGCAGTGTGTGTCACTTCTGGTAGTAGTAGTTCTACAAACGTACTACAACACCGCACGGCGTCGGCGTGCACGCACGTATTCTCTCGCTCTGTATTATTGCTCAGAAACCCAGCCACCATGGGGAGTTAAGGGGTTAGTCGACGGGTCATTTTCGTTAATATTTAATACTAGAAAAGCTTTCCATATGCTGCTTTTCGGGGCACACAGTTCGCGCCAGTATCCCCAATGCAGCGGATTACGGGGATCGGGCTTTCAGAGACGGTAGGACGGACACTTTTGTTGGAAAACAAACGGGACGTTAGCTAGCTAAGCTAACAAGCTAACCAAAAACTAGCTAACACACCAAGCTAGCTGGCGCTGCAGCCAGTAGAGTGGAAAACGTGCCCTCGCTTTCTTGTTTTGTTTGATGTTAGATCGGCTGGTTTGTTGGTGTTAATCAGTAGGAAAGTTGCCCTTGCTTTGGTGCGAGTTAACTTGGTATGAATACGTTAACAAAGTACGCTGGTGTTGGGAGTGTTTTTGCTTTGCAGGCCCGTCTTGTGTGGTTGTAGAGTTTGTTTCTGTACCCATCCCCCCACCGTCTTTTTGCAGGCCAAGATGAATGAGATTCCCACTTCAAAGCACTGGCATTGGTGGTGGCATTGCTACAAGGCTAGCTAGCTGTCTTAGCTTGTTAACATTACTCTTGGTTATTTAGATAAGGATGTCCAGCTATACAAAGTGTTAACCAGAGGTGGAAGAAGTATTCATATCTTGTACTTAAGTAAAAGTAGAAATACCACAGTGTAGGAATACTATGTTACAAGTAAGAGTCCTGCATTGGCATCCGAATATACTTAAAGTAACCATAATAAAAGTGCTCATTATGCAGTTTGGTCCACTACAGAATAATATCTGTTACATGTTTTGAGTATAATTATTGGTGCATTACAGTGTTGTAAAAGCTTATAAAGGGGCAGCTAGATGTAATGACTTCGTATACTGTAGGGTAGCTTGTGTATGTTGCTCCAGGTGTAACTGAAGTCTGATTTAAGTGTTGATTTACATATTTAACATCATTGATCCCAATCCGCAAAGCAGAGGTGGAGGAAGTAATCATATATTGTAGTAAAAGTACCAGAGTGTAGGAATACTCTGTTACAAGTAGAAGTCCTGCAATCACAATTATACTTAAGTAAAAGTACAAAAGTATTGGCATCAAAATGTACTTAAAGTACCAAAAGTAAAAGTAGTCATTGTGCAGATTGGTCCATTTCAGAATAATATATATGATATGTTTTATAATGATTGATCATTAAAGTGTTCTCAAAGCTGGTAAAGGTGCAGCTAGTTTGAATGACTTTGTATACAGCAGGGGAGCTTGTGGATTTACTCCAGGTGGAACTACAGTCTGATTTAAGATTACATTTCACTTCATTCATCAAAATCAGCAAAGAAACTAAAGGTATGCAATAAATGTAGTGGAGTAAAAGAACACCATATACTTTGAACTGTCGTGGGGTAGAAGTTTGAAGTGAAATTCCAAAGTAAAGTACTAGTATCTCAGTATTGAACTTGAAATTGAAAGTGTATTTTGAGTCCTGCTAGTTGCAATTAACTAACGGTATTATTAACACACTGATAATGATGCTATGAGGATAATAATGTTTGTGGCTGCAGAAGTCAATACTTGTTGAAAGAAATATCATGTAAACGTGTTTGCCGCTGTAAGGCTTATCAAACATCAGGTTTAGTAATACACGTACCTGTCCCAATCAGCCATTTGTAAAGGTATCTCTTTGTAGGGTGCTGATTAACATTGTTTTTCTTTGATGTGCTTTTGTATGTCTTTTCTTCAATGGAAGCTCTTGTCTTTGATCCAACCATTAGACTGTTATACAGTTTGTGAGTTATTGGTTGGCTAGTTTACGTGTGAAGTTAGCATTTTTGTAATGAGATAATTTCATATACTTGTTCATAATCTAAGGTAGCTAGTTGTGTTGGTTATTAATAGTGCTTCATATATGTGTGGCCAGACACAATAAAGAGGCTGAGGGTTACCTCTACCATCTTATCTCAATGTTTATATCCTTTGCATCAACGTCCCCACTTCAACCACTTTTCTCCTTTTTATCACAGGGTGAATTGTTTGCCAGCAAAATCATTGCTACAGAGGAAGATCTGACCTCTGCTTTGAGCAACCAGAGACATGAGTGTTGTCAGAGAATTACATGGGATTGGGTTCAGGGGCGGCGGGGGGGGCGTTGTGGCCTCTCTGAGCGGCCCGTCCCACTTTACCGAGGATGCTCCGCGACCCCCTGTTCCTGGGGAGGAGGGATCTGATGTGGACCCCCCAGTCCAGTCGGTCAGCACCCGTCCAAACACCCTGTCCCAAACGCTCGGCTACCCCCCGTCATCGTTATCATCTAAAATGGGGGATCAATCGAGTTACACGCCCTCCTCGTCGTCTGCGACCCCGCGGCGCCCGGATCTGGACTTAGGGTACGAACCCGAGGGCTCGGCTTCACCGACTCCTCCGTACCTGAAGTGGGCCGAGTCGCTTCACTCTCTTCTGGACGACCAGGAAGGCATCCAGCTGTTCCGAAACTTCCTGTGTCAGGAAGGGTGTGCGGACCTCCTGGACTTCTGGTTTGCTTGCTCCGGGTTCAGGAAGACGAGCCAGGAGAAGAGGGCAAAGCTGGCCAAGGCCATCTACAGGAAGTACATAGTAGACGGAAGTGGGATCGTCTCCAGGCAGATCAAAGGAGCCACCAAGAGCTTCATCAGAGACTGTGTGGGGAAGCCTCATCCAGACCCTGCCATGTTTGAACAGGTAATACAAACCCTGATGTCGTGTTTTCAGAATACCTGTGTGTGTGTGTGTGTGTGTGTGTGTGTGTGTGTGTGTGTGTGTGTGTGTGTGTGTGTGTGTGTGTGTGTGTGTGGTACTACTACGTAGTACTATAC